TGAAGAGCCGGCGTTACGTGTTTYCGAGAAAATATCTGCGGAAGATTTATGGTCATGGGTCATGTGATCCGAATGGACGAAAACATAACAGCTCTAAAAGTATTTGACGGGAAGTAGAGGGAGAGAAAGACCTCCACTCATGTGGTGAAGGATCTGGGTTATTGATTTCACTTGGAATCTCCAATTGGTGGCAAAACGTGAAAAAGAAGGACGACTGTCGCGGTGTTGTAAAATAATAAAGAAGAAGAATACTATCTTTTATAGAGAGCATTGGATCTTCCAGTAAGATTATGTTCTAGCATACAAGGAGAAAACCACCAAGCAGTGCCTTAAAAGCAAATTTCCTATTTTCATAGCTGTAGATGGTTGGCTGCCTGGAAGTCCAAATTTGGACTACAGTCTGTGGTCAGGGTTGGAGAACATGGCCTGTTGAGTATCATTTGTAGAATCTTACACAATCTTTAGTTCGAGTAATACCGTCAATGCCAATTAAAATCGGGCTGCCATTGATCAATGGCCGTTGTACCGTTTAAAAGCTAAGTGTGAAAGCAAACACTGACCATTTTGAATAAAATATAATCAATATTACTATTCAAAAAAATATTATAGTTTATTTTTTACAACGGCCTGCACTTGTAACAGAACTTTTGGCAGCAATAAAGCGTTACCAAAAATTGGTTTTATCACAGCAATTAATTTATTAAATTAGAAGAACTTGGTATAAGACGCTATCTAAAAATTATATATGTGTGTATATTCACTTTCGCATTTGATGCATATTGTACATACATATATTTTACTTCTTTGTCCATGTGTATAAATGCAGGTGGCAAACACTGCCTTAGCCATTTTATTCGGTTTGCCGGYGAAGCATTATTATCAGCACGAAATTTGATTATTTATGACGCGATAAATAATTCAGTGACGGGGTGTATAATTTACACCATGGGGCACACCGAATCATGAATTTGTCATCATCAYCTAACAGTRCTTCGGCAAACATACACACATATAGTATGTTCACGGGTTAGAAATGCAGTTTGGACAAGTAAAAATATGTAGTAACTGCAGCAAAGTGTCTAAAAATTATAATAAACCGTTAGACGTGTTACATCCTGCTGGCTGTGGGTGTTGTGTGAATTAGTTGAATAACGGTATTTATGCAAAATTGGCCTTCAGTTATTCAGGCTAACTTCACATACATACATACATCTAACATATAATAATCATAATTTACAATAACAACGCGCTGCAGTTTAGCTTTGGTTTGGTAGGTAAAATGAAATAAATTTTGTAAGTGGCACATGGTTGAAACTAATTGCATTATAACCCGTTTTAGGAATTTTGTATCACTTAAGAATTTTTTTCCTTTTTATTTGAGATAAAATTTTCTCAGTATTCCTATGAATATCCTCCGATCTCGCATCTTCAGCTATCCAGGGTAACAGTAATAGRGAAATGGGACATATAACAGTCTGTCTGAAATTAAATTTCCGGTAAAGTGCAAATATACATTGCCGGAAGCGATGTTTGACTCTCTTSTTATAGGCGTAGTGTCATGGGAACCAAATCGCGAGTGCGACGACTGTTTGTTTGACTTTTTTTGATATTTGAGGTCAAAAATATCAATATAATCTTATAGAAGATTGTACCTGCTCAATTAAGCTTTTGCAGGTCGAATTATTTTATCCAACAGCAGATTGAAGAAGTGGCACGATATGAAGTCGCCTTGTTTGAAACTTCGTCTGGTCTCGAACGGCTCGAACGTCAAATTTCCCGAACTCGCTTTACATAAAATTTTTTTTATGTCTAATTAGTACAGATGTTTAGAAAACGAAATATATTCATTGTATTATTTTTGCAAATATGACAGTTTTCAAACCAATAAACCAATGAAACTAAGTGTTATACCTATGGCTGGGATTGAGTATATGAGACGAAGATTGATTWTGTTAAGACCAAGTATAATAAGTAGGGGGATTTCTGTATATTCTTGTACAGAATGCACCAGAGAAAGCCCTGCTCCAGTCTTTCTAGTTCTTCGTTTGTAATTGACAATGGTTTGAGGATATAACATCGCTCAAAAGCCGTTCCATGGATTCGCTTAACTAAACATTGGTCGATTGATTTCCAGAGAAACAACTCRGAATGTACTTCCTATAGGGAATTTGTTATACTCAAATAGGAAACTTTATTATGCGTTGGTAAGAGGATTCATGTCGCAGATAAAGCGCCTGGTCACCAGGATCACACGTAAGTACAGTCCGTTGTAAAGCCGGATAAAAACACCTCCTCTATCACAAATCTGATTTCTTTATTTATATTTCAACATTTTAACCTGCGTATCTAAAGGTGTGAGACCAGAGTTTTTTTAGTCTTGATCTGTTAAATACCAACATTCGCCAATAAGCTGTTGAGATGAAACTATTTCATTGTTCACTATCTCGGCCGAAGCCTTAAGTCAGCGAGCTTAAGAATAGTATAGGAGGCTGAGCTCCAGAGCAGTAAATCTACACCACGTCAGTTGGAAAGGCTAATGGATTTTTCGCTACAGTGCACTCCTCCACCACGAAATGTCTTCATAATGTTACAAATGACAAAAAGCGAAGATGTTTATTTTATGTTGTTGTATCGAGCAGAAGGTCTTAATCCTCCTGCACTGTTAAGTAGAGACTTTAACTACACAAAGCATCCATTCTATCAGCCTTTTTATGGTTTAATCAAAAATCCTTGAATCTCAACCCACACATAGATTAATAAACCCCCACGAAATCTGATATAAAACAGTGCGATTTTATGCAGCGCGCATTCGAACGTGCAATTTATACGACTGAAGCTCTAGCTCTGCTGTTTCATTTCTTCTATTTAAATTTTTTTTTATTTTTAATTTTTAAGAATTGTTGCATCCTTGGAATTCAATTCACTCACGCTGTGCAGTCAAATCCAAGCTCCGTCCGCTGCCACTGCCGCTGTAGCTGTGAGCGCCAAGAAATTTAATCGTGTGCATGCTGGAACACACAAATAGCTGTCGACGCACTCGAAAAATCTCGTATCTGGTATGACATAAAATATGGTAAGCAGTATAAATGATCGGACCGACCGCTACGTGCGGGCAGCMGTAGTCGCAGTGGCAGCATAAAAGGTCGCTCGCTTGCTGCACATTGTTCACTGTTCACTGCCAATATTGCAACACCTCCAGCTGTGCGGCTGTGGTGCGAAATAATACCCGCACACACAGAAAAAGAAAACAAAAAGAACGTAGAAGAATGCAATTTCACCGTTGTCGCAGCCTACATAGTGCTGTCAGCAAGGCAACTTTGGCTTCTGTCGAAGATTTATAGCGATTACGGAACACTTGGCAAGGTCCCATTGTGCCTATGCGGGCTTGTTATATGTATGCAAGAATGTGGGTGCATATTTTACACGCCTGCGCTCCAGAGCTAGCTTTAAAAAGGCATTAACTCGCAACTAGTGCATTTCGAGCTATGGCGCCTATGGATAACACAAGAAAATATTTTTTTTTTGTTTTGCTTTTGCTATAAACCTTTTCTTAATTCAATTCATGGAATTCAATTTTTATTGTTTTAATTTTTAATACATTCACAGTTATGTATGTATTAACAAAAAATACTTAAACATATTTTTTGAAAGTTTAATACAAAAGTTGTTTTTTTTTTATCAAAAAATAAAATCCTTATTTCATAAAAAAATCACACAAAAAATTATTGTAAAATGTCTGTTAAACGCTTAACGATGAGTCAGTGATTAGTGCAGCACTTTTATCAGTTTCAGGCAATGAAGTTTCTGGTACGCCAAATGTCCACGTCAGTTTGCAAACATTTGCGAAAATCATAATCACATAAGCCGAGGCTGTATAACGGATTAGTAGCCTTGAAGAAATGTAAACCACGCCCAATCTTTATAATATAACCGTTGCTGAGGCTAAAAGTAATCGGAATGCGATTAGTTTTGTTATAGATGTATTACAACGGTAACTTACACAATTTTACGGTCATGCAAAGTGTCTTCGAATTTTATGCTTAAAGTTACATTACGTTTTGCCATATCCGCTCTAATCTGCTCTAGCACGTTACTTTGGTTCTCCGGTGCTTTGGTATCAGTCTTTGTGACCACTCTCACATACTTGAGGTGGCGACAGTTTTTTACCAACAACTCTAAGAATGTTACAAGATTCTGAAACTGCATGAATATTTAGTTGTTGTGCGCGAGTGCTTATTATTTTCATTGCTATACACACATACTTGATACTTCTCGTACAGATATGGCTCCTCAAGTAGGACCTCTTTTACGTCCGCATTGAGGTACTGCCCGAACAGCGAGTGATAACTGTTGCCGGTAGAATTGTCATCTATTGCTTTATTGCTGACCAATTCGCCACGTATGACATGCTTCTGTACGCGGTCCTTAATTTGTTCAGCGCGGTCTATGTACTCCTTAATGCGTTCATAAAACACTTTCTTCTTGGTCACATCCGATTCGTCTGTTCAAGAGCAATAACAAAGATATGCAAACACATATGTAGAATGAAATGATTTTGTCCAGAACATTTGCTGAAATGCTTGCGCATGTTATTCCTTACCCCCAACCAGATCCATAAGTATTTGTATGCCATCTTGATAGAGATGTTGTGCCTCCAAAATTCGTCCGGCTTGATCACATTGCACTGCACGCATTAATATATCTTTGGCATTCATTTTTCCCACAAACATACGTCACAATCAATTTTATTAACCAAAGTTTCTTAATTTTTTTATCGCAAAATGGCGCTTTTACTTTGTATATGGCCGCCTTAAGGCACAACCAAACTAGTAACACTTATGATTTAAGACTACAACGAAACAAAAAAAAAAAAAAACAACCACACACTAAAAATTTGTTAAAATAAAACTAAACGCTTTAATAAACTATTAAAACAAACACAAAAAGATTTCGATACAATACTGACAAATGAATTTTTTTCCACTTCTTACTTTTTGATGACAAAGTTTTGTTTTCCTCAAAAGAAAATATTGTCAAAATTGACATTTGCAATAAACAAACAAAGGACGCTGACAGCTGTTGACTGTATACGCAAGCGTTGCCACATGAAAAGCAAGTTCTTTGGAACATAAACTTAACTTGGTTAAGAAGATATAATACTTTTAGACTAATAAATATGCTGGTTATAATTAAATTATTGCAAACAGAGTTGTTGCGTTTTTGGAASTAAAAATATAAAAAATAAAAACAATATGAACTAGTACTACAATCGAATAAATCAATTGCAATGAAATCACTCGAAGTGAATTTCAAATTACTTGAATTGTTAATATGGCAGTACCATAAGAATAGCTGGCATACTTTTAGGCTTGGCGGAATTAATTCAAATTAATAATTAGTACATTAATAATTTAGGTAAAGATTAAGTGAGTACATATCAAATTTTATTACTCAATTAATAAAATTATATCTTCAATTATAAATATGTAAATAATGGGTTGAAATTATTTGAATACTTAATTTATACCATTTTTGACAAATTGATGAACAGTGGTCTCAAACGTAAATATTAAAATAAAGTGCTGCGTTGTTGTTGTATCGTTAGAAACATCTTTAAAGTAATTAAGAGGATTKCTACTGAGTTGACAGCCATTGACCGGGCAAAACTTCGGGTCCGTTGTCGTTGTTATGTTAGAATGGTGCCGAGTTAACCGTCCTTGGCCGGATAAAAATTCGGTTACGTGGAAACGACTGTCGTGGGAACGGAATTAGTCGTCTGAAACTCATGCTTTAATTAAGTTCTGAATAGGGTCTATTCAGTTTGCTTCGACCTTTATAAAGGGTATTCCACTTCGAGGTTCCCCACTTTTTTTTAAAGAAAAAACGCAGACACTTCAAATTTAATGCAGAATGTTTTTATCATTTGAASATTATCTCTTTCAAATATCGGTCGCGGCTACGCCTCAGATGGTCTGTCYGTTGAGTCCAATTTTCGATAACTCGTTCGAGCAAACRTAGCGGCGGGGTCCGATGGATTGCCGGCCGAGCTACGACAACAGCAAACACGGCGGCGAAGAACTGATAAGTAKCATGCATCAGCTTCTTTGTAAAATTTGGTCTGATGAAAGCATGCCCATAGATTGGAATTTAAGTATGCTCTGCCCAATCCACAAAAAGGGAAACCCACAATCTGTGCCAACTACCGTGGGATAGGTCCCCTCAACATCGCATATAATGTTTTATCGAGCGTATTGTGTGAAAGATTAAAGTCCATCGACATCAAACTGAATGGAYCTTCTCAGTTTGTTTCTWTAGRCCTGGAAAATCAAYAACTGACCGGATATTCACCATGCGCTAAGTCTTGGAAAAGAGAGGAATTAATCGAACAGATATCATTGGCCTCAACATACGCGCCGCAAGTTCTGTTTTGTCCAAATGGAAAAGGAAGCGAAGCAAATGAGTCTGGTAGTGAACGAGAGCAAAACGAAATATCTCCTGCCATCAAATTAACAGTCGTTGCACGCGCGACTAAGCTCCAASGTCACTGTTGACGATCAGATCGAAGTTGTAGATAATTTCTTCTGTCTTGGAACCAGTAATAAAACGAACAATAATGTCAGTCTCGAAATCCAACGCAGAATATCTCTTTCCAACTGGTGCTACTTCGGACTGTCATTTGATAAGTTAAGTCCTTTCTCGACGAAAAAAGATCAAACTCTACAAGTTACT